GATGAGCTTATATCTTTAAAAATGTCAATAGTTCACAAGATAAAATTTTTCTTATTCTCAAATTTAAAGTAATAAATAAAAAATGAACAGTATAATTAACTTACAAATTATTTCCGTAGATGGTTCGATGGTTTCAACTGGGAAGGTCTGAGAGCAAGGACACTGGAGCCTCCAATAATGCCCCGGGTACAAAACGCCACAGACACCGCTAACTTCGACGAATACCCTCCAGACTCAGAACCTCCACCTCCTGATGACGTCTCTGGCTGGGACAATGATTTTTAATTGTTATCGTTTTATTTTAATTAATTAATAATTATTATTAGAGCGGCAAAAAACCAACATTAAAATTTTTTTTTTACATTCAAGTAATTAAAAAAAATTTTTTTATCAATTATATTAAAAATTTTTTTAAAAAGTTGGTCTTCAGTCGCTCTATTGTTATTTTTATTATAATTATTATTATTTTCAGTAATTGCAAGTCTTCCAAATTAAAATAATTATTCCAATTATTTTTTCTGAATTTTGTTATTAATATTTTATGATAATAATAATTATAAATAATAATTTGTATAGTTACCAGTAAATTTAAAAAAATTGAAAAAATTTAATAGGAAACTTAAAAAGAAAACTAGATAATTATAAAATAGATAGAAAAAAAAAATAAAATAAGGGCCTGTGATAATTAAAAATGAAATTAGGCCGCTAGGGATTTATTATTGTGCATATTAAATTTTTATTGATCGATTAATTAGTTGAATTTATTTAATTAATTAATAAATGAATGTCTGAAGAGTGAATGGAATAAATTTTTTTTTTTTTTTCAATTGAAATTTTAATTGTATTCAATTCTGTTTAATTAATTGTGCCAGTGTGTCACGTGCCATTGTAATTAAATCAAAATCGAGTGTTAATTTTATCAAACATTTTTTTTTTCTGGTGAATAAATTCTTGCCGGTAATATTTTTCATAAAATACACTCGCTTACAAAAAAAAAAAATTATAAATTTTAAAGGCAAATATTTAATTTAATTAAATTTATTATATATTTTTTTTATTATATAAAGTATATGTATTTTTCATTGATTTATTGTAAAGAATATAATAACTTTTTAAATATTGTAAATAAAAATATACAATTGTATTTAATGAGTGTAATGCTCTAATTCTTTAATAAAAATCAACAAAATATTAAATAAGCGTTAATTTTTTATTTCTATAAAATTATAAATATACATTTTTTTTTGGTAATTAGTTGAAATTTTTTAAGTTTAATGATAAAAAAAATTATTGCTTTTTTCATAAATTATTATTGTAATTTTTGCTATTTTTTTAATCATATAGGAATTTGTTTAAAATTAGCAATTACAAAAATTTACTTTCTAAAAATGTGTTATTTACTATATTAAAGTCTATTAATTTTTAATATGGTCAATTTTCTTATAAAAAAATTCTTTTATTTATTTTAAATATTAATACAAATTTTGCTTTTATAAAAAAAAAAATCCCTATTTTTTAAATTTGAACATAATTTAAAATTAAAATTTTCCTCAACAATTTCATGCAATTAGACGCTCTTTAATAAAAATTCCTGTTCTTAATTAGTAAACATATTTACAATAAAAATAATTTTTATTACAATTATCATTTTACTAATTACATCAACTATCATCTTCACTATTAGAATAACTTTCATCGCTCTCATTAATTCTAATTATTATAGGTTCAATTTCACGGTCCATATTCATGCAGATTCTTCTTGCTTTAGCCTCTTCTTTCTTCACATGTTCAATGCAATCTGACCACAATGAAGCCGTAACATTTTCCATAGAATCTCTGCATAATTTCAGAAAATCATCAATTTTAAACGTAGAATTATTTTTAGCTACACCATTTTTAACGTGAGCCCATATAAGTTCAATAGGATTGTATTCACAATGAGCAACAGGTAACCATAATAATTTAACTTCATTCCCGCGTTTTTCTTGAGCTATTTTTTCAAGTAAAAATCGTGGAGGATATCGATGCAATTTTACTAATTCTAATAATTCATGTTTTGTCAAATCAGAAAATTCATTAATGTCTTGAGGAAGTGGTACTGGTCTATTAACAATCCACTCGATAATTTTATCTTTTTGCCAACCGATATTTGGGTTTCTAAATTCAGGATCGAGCATTTTGTGATGCGGAGCCTGATCTAAAACAATTACAGACTTATTCGGTAATACTTGCAATACTTTTTGAAACCATTCCATATATAATCTTCAACCTTTACTTCTTTATTATCTGCGTCCTTTTTTTCAGTAAAAAAAAGTCTGCAACCTGGAACAAATCCTTCAACTCCACCAATGTCTAAAATTATAACTTTTCCTGATCCTGAACTTGAAATTTCCTTTTTTTCATTGCAATTACTTTGGACACCCTCCAAATTAAAGTCAATTGTTGCAATCCAACCACTTTTTTTAGAATAATTAGTATCGTAACAAGTTTCGCCGGTATAAAAAATGTTGTAATCATTTTTCCGATAATCCGTTATTTTACGAAGATAAGTATCTCTTTGTGCGGCAATCGATACGCTTTCTATCCAAACGGATTTTTTGCTAAATTTCTTTGGAGAAAAGTTCAATTTTTTACACCAAGTTTTAAGTGTCGTTAACTTGAAATCGGGAATGTGTTCACACTCTTGTAATTTTTTATAAATCATTTCCAAAGAAGGATACATTTTTTCCGCATAAAATCCATGGATAGTTTGTCGAATCATTCCTTGGAGAAAAATATCAAACGGAATTGCTGGTCTACCAGATTTCGAAGCAATTTGCAAGCTTTCTTTTTTTTTTATCCTTCCTTAAAATACGCTGGACAGTGCTCGAAGATATTTCAAAGCACTCCGCTGTTCTTTCAATTGTATTTCCAAATTTAATAGGATTTTTTAGTTTTTTTTCTCGAGAAAAAAATTTAGCAGCTTTTAAAATTAAAATTTTCTCTTTTTTACTGAAATACTTAACTTTTTTTTCAAGTAATTTATCATTTTCAAAGTCACACTCATCAGTATCCACTTCTGATTCTGTTGAATCGTTACAATCCATTAATTCTTGACTATTTTTATCAATATTAAGATTGTTCGTATTAAAAAAATCAATATTGCAAGAATTTTCATTATTATCCACGGGAAAATTATTAACAGGTTTTAAAATTTTTAAGTTACTATTATTTTCAGAAAGTAATAAATAAATTGTATCAATATAACTTGGCATACTATTTAATATCCTAAAATATGACTCATCATTATTTAATCTTATGACAATAATATTAATGCGATAGCGGTCTGCTGCTGCTTTGCACTCTATTAATGATGCATGCACACCCGATTTTCCCATTTTAAGTTTATAAGAATTTTTATTATTCACCCGTAAAATATTTTTAGCAAAAGTTTCAAATAATGTCCAATTTTCAACAACATATGATACAACATTTGCTCGAACTGTACTAGCTCGGCTATTTGTCTTTTGAGCAATACACTTAAAAAAACAATCACCATTACTGCCAGAATCGATTATTTCATATTCAATATTATCAAAAGTGATTCGCGACATATTAATTATAATATTAATTATATGTAATATTATATTATATTTAAGAATAAAAACTGTATTTACTGTTCTTGAACTTTACACACTAAAAGCAGAAAGCTATGAATGCTATGACAATTTTTTTTTCAACTAAATAGTAGATGTAAAATTTTGATTTATATACAAAAATATTGTATAGAAAGAATGGGAATAATATTTTAAGCCCAAAAAAGATAAAATATTTTAAATATAAGTAGTTAGATTTTAAGGTTTTAATTGCTTATTTTTTTTTCTACCTGGAAGAACAATATTTAGAGATTGCAATCTATAAAGGTAACATTTAAAAAATATCAAAATCCGCTTTACTATATTCTATGTATAATTTTTTTTCTCATTACGGTAATTGTAAATTACAAAGATTTAGTGTTTTAAAAATAAAAAGTTTCTCAAGTTATTAAAATTAGTTTGTAAATAATAAACATAGAATTTTGGATGATAAATTTTATTTTAATATTTTTTTAAAGAACTCCAAAATTTTGATAAAAATGATTTTAAAATATTCTTTCATTTTTTATGAATGAAAAAAAAAAAAGTGTAAATCATCTTTGTAATATTTCACAATTTTTTTTTGTTATTAAAATTTGGGCTAGCTACTTTTAGAACTCAACTAGCTACTTAGAATATTTTTATCTATACAGTACAAGAGAAAGAATTATAAAAAAAATAATATTCCAGGTATATTTGAAAAAGGATCAATTCCAAAAAGGTCTAAAATTGAAAGTGGCGTAAGACTTGTTTCAAATTAAAAAAATTGAATAAATCAGAAGCAAATTTCATAGTTTGTATGAAATTTGAATTTCACCCTTTATAAATTCTAATTTGAAACAAATTTTTATCTCTATTTGATCAAAAGTTAGCGAGTGACCATTGTTTATAAATAACGATAATAATTTATGAAAAAAAAAACCATTTTTTTTTATCATTGAGTTTAAAAAAGTACAACTAATCACCAAAAAAATCAGCGTGAAGAAATTGATGCTTATTTTCAAACCCCAAAAAAATTTTTTTTTCCAATTTGCAATTTTGCAAGAAAAAAAGGGTCTATATTTTTTCACCTGGTAGTAGGTTCTGTAGACAAGTAAAATAAGAAACAATCTAAGGAAAATTTTAAAAGGTCGTTAAAGTAAAAGTATTTATATTTGTTTAAGTATTGCTTAGGCATTAGAGAAACACAGGGTATCATAAACATAAATTTGAGGATTAAAATTATAATCCAAGTAAGAGATTAAAATATTTTGTTCACAAAAACAGGTAATAGTTATTATGACATTAAAGTAAGTAGTCATTTGACTATTTTTAAAATTTTTTTTTAACAAACAAATCAGTGCCAAAAAATTACTAAAAAAAATTGTTTTTAATTTTATTAAATTTCTACACGTCAATTTTTTTTGTCATAATTTACTTGTTAAAAAAATTCTTAAAATTAACAAATGTCTGCTAAGTTAATTTTTAATGATATTGAAGTTAGCCGTCAGCTGTCAATTTCAAAAATTTTTTTAACAAATCAATTACAATAAAAAAATGCTTCTAAAAATTTTCACTTATAATTTTTATTAATTTTCACATGTGGAATTTTTTAATATTAAAGTTATAATATAATATTAAAGTTAGCCGACGTTTTTAATTTTTTGATTTCTTTTTATTTATTAAATTATAACTAAAAAATATTTTTAAAAAATTACACTTACGGTTTTTTAAATTCTAAAACTTTTTAGATGTCGGCTCTAAAATTTAGCTGTCACTTTACAATTTTTTTAATTTTCTTTAATAAATAAATTATGGCAAAAAAAAATTATTAAAAAAATGGACTTTAAAATAAATTAAAAATTCTATTTTTTAAAAATAATTTTTTTGTAGGAAAAAATTAAAAAATTGTCAAGTGTGACAGTTAAATTAAATGTCATTTTTTTTTATTTATTTAATTGTTATAAAATTCTAAAAAAATATCTAATGTCTGACAACTTCAGTGTCATAATTTTTAAATCATATTCAATTAAATTTTAAACTTGAAAGAAAATAAAAAATTACGGGGTCATCTGAGTGATCCGAACGGAAATGTAGCCAATATAATAATTGTAAAGGAATTCAAAAAGTATCTTGCTCTCTAACAAGTTATATACATTTAATACTTCATACATAACACTTAATGTATGTCAAATAATAGTAAATTCTATATAATAAAATACACACATTAAAACATTTAAATATCATATTTATGAAAAAAATTAAACTGTAACCCATGAAACATTACAAAAGAACGACAATTGATCTGTCTTCTAAGTCTTCTAAGTCATAAGTAAGAAATTAGCTGTCGGTAAGGTAAATTTTTTTAGGTAACTGGCGGTGAAGGAAATTTAAATTATATAATCTAAATTCAAACAACCTTTATATTCTGAATAAGAATAATTCTTCTTGAAAATATTTATTGTTTTTATTTATTAAAATATATAAATATTGATTACTAAAATAAAAAAAAAATCGCTTATTTAATGGGAAATTATTTATTATTCTTTATAAAGTAATTTTTTGTTAATTATATAAAATATTAAAATCAAACTATTTTTTATTTGTTTCAACTTAAACTATTATTCATCTATACACTTTCTCAAAATTTATCAAATATTAAAGGAACAAAAACATCTTTTTTTTTTAATTTTCTAATATTTTTGAACTTACTAATTATATATGATATTCCTATATTTTTTTAACTTTAATCTAAGTTTAAACAAATTATATTTAAATAAATAATTTTTTCTTCTTACGTTATTCTAATTACATATATATAAAAAATAATTGTTTGTTTCATAATATTCATATGACAAGAACGTAATCATTGATAAATGTTGAGAAGGTGTAAAAATAAAAAGTTTGGAAAATCCAAAATTGCACGCCTCATAATCTCATTTTTCACAATAAAATTGATTAAAATAAAATATAAAAAGCAAAATAATAAAAAACAGAAAACTATAATGATGAATTTTTAGTTTATATTTATTTATTTACTAATTTAAGTTCATCAAAAGTTCGGTAGATGGTGTTGAAATACCTAACGTAAAATACGTAAGAAACCCAACCGGTAATTTACGTGTATTATACATGTATAAAACTAAGTATAATACGTATAGTATTTTACGTGCCCACCCCTGGTCATAAGTAAGAAATTAGTTGTCGGTAAGGTAAATTTTTTTAGGTAACTGGCGGTGGAGGAAATTTAAATTATATAATCTAAATTCAAACACAACCTTTTTATTCTAAATAAGAATAATTCTTCTTGAAAATATTTATTGTTTTTATTTATTAAAATATTTAAATATTGATTACTAAAATAAAACAAAAAATCGCTTATTTAATGGGAAATTATTTATTTTTCTTTATATAGTAATTTTTTGTTAATTATATAAAATATTAAAATTAAACTGTTTTTTATTTGTTTCATCTTAAACTATTATTTATTTATACACTTTCTCAAAATTTATCGATATTAAAGGAACAAAAACATCTTTTTTTTTTTTTAATTTTCTAATATTTTTTAACTTTCTAATTATATCTGATATTCCTATATTTTTTTAACTTTAATGTAAGTTTAAACGAATTATATTTAAATTAATAATTTTTTCTTCTTATATTATTCTAATTACGTATATATAAAAAATAATTGTTTGTTTTATAGTATTCATATGACAAGAACGTAATTATTGATAAATGTTGAGACGGTGTATAAATAAATAATAGTTTAAGCTGAAACAAGTTAATGAACAGTTTGTTTTTAATATTTTATAGAATTAAAAAAAAAAAAAAGTACTTTATAAAGAAAAATAAATAATTTCCCATTAAATAAGCGATTTTTTGTTTTATTTTAGTAATCAATATTTATATATTTTAATAAATAAAAACAATAAATATTTTCAAGAAGAATTATTCTTATTTAGAATAAAAAGGTTGTGTTTGAATTTAGATTATATAATTTAAATTTCCTCCACCGCCAGTTACCTAAAAAAATTTACCTTACTGACAACTAATTTCTTACTTATGACACTTTGAAGACAAAAAAGACAGATCAATTGTCGTTCTTTTGTAATGTTTCATGGGTTACAGTTTAATTTTTTTCATAAATATGATATCTAAATGTTTTAATGTGTGTATTTTATTATATAGAATTTACTATTATTTGACATGTATTAAGTGTTATGTATGAAGTATTAAATGTATATAACTTGTTAGAGAGCAAGTTACTTTTTGAATTTCTTTACAATTATTACATTGGCTACATTTCCGTTCGGATCACTCAGATGACCCCAAAATTACCAAATATAACCGCGCCGGAACTGCAAGGTCAACACAATAACTCTTTTCAAAATTTTCTTTGTCTCTGCACCAGTTACCAAACTGCCATCCCCTCTCCTAACACCGCGCAATTCTTAGTACTGACACCCGAAGCGCAGCATCGCAGTATCAGCCACCGACGACAGAAACAAGAAACTAGCGACTGTGACCGCGACCGGCGCGCATTGCTTCGCACGCCTGCTTGTTGTCAGGTTACATATTCTCTCTCTCTCCCTTATTTATTTCTGCTGGCGGCATTCCACTTGTTGCCGCCGTGCATTTTGTCACTAAAAAAGCCGGTAACTAATGAACATTTAAATAAATAAATAAATAATTAATAAAAAATAAATCTTACATTTATTATTTATTTCAGTATTTGTTGTACGTGACCCAGTGACAGTGTTAGTGCTCAAGTATCCAGCGACAGAACCCATGTAAGTTTTTGTCTTGTGTCTACGTGCCGATTTTCTTTTCTTTCTTCAATATAAGTATGGATATTTAGTGTAGAGTGATCAGAAAGATATTTCATTTATTCTAGAAGCTTCAGTTTAGTCTGTATTTATTTATTAAATAATTTATTATTATTATTTTTATTTTAATAGTGCTGTGTAAGTATAAGAAAAAGAAATTTAAGACTGTTTAAGATTGCGTCGTTGTTGAGTTTTTAGAGATTAAGTTTCTAAAGTGGGGGAGAGAGAAGAAAAAAATCCTTTGTTTTTTAATTTATATTACGATTTATCGCAATCTACCATTTTGTTCTTTTTAAACCGGCGTTCAATCTAAAACAGTAAATTAAGCCGACATTTTTTATTTTTTTTTTTTAATTTATGAAAATTAATTTAGCCGATATTTTAAAATTTTTAGAATTTTATTTTATTGAGAAAATTATTACTAAAAAAATTTCATTTTTAAGAAACTTGAAAAACTGTAAGTGCGATTTTTAAAAAATAGTTTTTTTTTTTTTTTTTCTAATTTAACAACTGAAAAAAATTAAAAACGTCGGCTAACTTTAGTATTATTTAAATTTTATAAGAATTTAGCAGATATTTAATAATTTTTAGAATTTTTTTAACAGATGAATTATAGTCAGACGTCTAAAAATTTTTGATTTTTTTTTTTTAATTAAATTACAACTAAAAAGATATTTTTAAGAAATTGCACTTATAGTTTTTCAAGTTTTTAACATGTGATATATTTTTTTTTAATTGTTTAATTGAAATTTTTTGAATAAAAAAATTTCTAAAAATTTTGAAATGTCAGCTAACTTCATTTTCATAAAAAAATGACACTGAAGTTAGCAGACGTCTAAAAATTTTTGATTTTTTTTTTTTAATTAAATTACAACTAAAAAGATATTT